ATGTTGACGATCACTAATAGTCTTATGATAAAGTCTGACTTGTTTCAACATTGACTCTAAACATAACATAAGGTGCAATTTAGTTACAGACACACCCACTCACCGGCTTCATTGATGACTTGTCTTAATTTTTCTCCAGAAACTTGATTCTCAGCAACAAGATTCTTTAAAGTTTCTTCCTATTAGTAAATTTAAAAGATTATCCTTTGCTCTATACTTTTCAAGCTTAGCAATCAAGACTAGTTTACATTAATATGCTACTAGACCAGTGTATCATCAAATTTTCATAAAAAGTATGGGCAAATTGACTATATATTTGACACTTTATGCTAGAATAAAGCTGAATTCTATTTCAGCATCAACATAACATCAGACCTAGCATAATATTGTAAACCAGGCTTAAAGTATGTAAGGGAGTACAATATATGGTAATGGCTCAAAACTAGGACCTGCTTCTCTGGAGTGTATTCCTGATCAGGGAGTGACTCAATGAGTGTCTCAATGTCAGTGGCTGTTTGTGATATCAGTGAAGCAAATAATGTTGCGTTGTTGGTGCTACCTATAATGTGTAAATCCTCATTCATAAGTGTACATTAGAGATGAAGTGTGTTTTAGTTTAGAACTTGACTAGTCAAAAATTTAAAATAATTTTTACTCAATACATGTACTCACTTTCCCCTCCTCCTTCTTTGGTCTCTAAAGTAAGTAGAAATGCATTCATAAGTGATGTAACACTGAACAACAAGGCAAGTAATTCAGCATAAAATGTGAGAATTTAGACTATTATTATTATTACCAGTGGTTTGGTTCTGTTGCAGAATCCCAATACTATTGCAGAAGTAGTCCGACATCTAAAAAGAATATAAATAAAAACAAGAACAGAGAAATACCTGTGTGACAGCATCTTGTAGTTGTGTTAGTCTGTCTGCCATTTTATCTGACCATGTAGGGTTAAATTACCAGATAAATTCATCAAAAGCGTGGGAGTTAAAACACGTGATCCAAATTGCTTATTTAGAAAAGTAATATTAGAACACGTCGTGTGAGCTTTCGAAAATGGCCGTTTCTTTGGAGCGAATGAGCCTCTCTTTTTCTCGCTACTAGACAACTCTTTGGGCTTCAAATCATCACAGAAACTCTAGACTCTGGCATGAGATTATCTCCAAAATGGAGTCGAAAAGCAGCGGCCGCAGAATCGAGTTGGAACACTCGACCAAACCCACAGCGAGCATGTAAGACTTTCCTTGTACCGCAAAGTGTTTTAACCGCCTCCCTCCCTCCCTATTGTAGAGATATCAGTCCGTCGATGGACAGGATGGAAAGAAAAAGGCACCATAGCTCTCTCAGTGATTTCAAGTGAGTCATAAAAATACACAAAAAAGAAAACAAGACTGGGCGTGGCTTGGGCGGATTTAATCTCGGATGGGCGTGGCTTCAATTTTTAACCCTTATCTATTAATTAATTTAAATTTTTGTCACCATAAATAATATTTGCTGTAATTTCTAGAGAGGAGGAGAGAGAGGAGTCTTTTACAAAGAAGCCTCACCTTACTGTCGACACTTCTCCCAACTGCCAGCCATTATGTGAGGCTTTGAGCAGTAATGACTCGTTTTACAGCGGAGGTAAGTAATTAATTAATCTTACATCATCACTATACATGTACATGTTATATGTCACTCTGTGTATCCATGCATATACATGTGTGTGTGTGTGATTGTGTGTTGTGATTCATGGGGTAGATGTTTGCACACAAGCATCTCATTATTGCATAGCAGTCACGCACATGTACAGTACATCTAGCTGTCATTTGATAGCCTTTTGCTCCTACTACATGAAT